CCCCCCACCGCCCCCAGCCTGTGGGTCAGCTCACCTGGGCAAGGGATGGGGTGAAATTGCAAGTCCCTGAGAATCACAGTGACAAATGACATTCACTAAGGGCTTTGTCTATTCTAGGCCCTGTGCCAAGGGCTTTATGTGCACAAACTCACTAAGTCCTCACATCAGCCTGAGTTGCTCCTAGTATTATAAGTTTGGTACTAGTATTATCCCTATTTCACAGATGAGAAAACTGAGACCAAGCCATGTATCCAAAGTTACATAGTTGATGGTGGAGGCAGATCTGAACTCTGGCTGACTCTAGAGGCCACCTTCTTATGGATAAGGTCATTTTCCTCAAAGAAATCAGTGAGGGGTCAGGAATTGCTATATTCAGGGCAACCTCATCTGGAAGTTGGGGAAAATGCAGCTGAACACCCAGGTCTCTGGCTGCACAAGGCGCAGTGCAGTGTGGGTGCACCAGCCATATTTACAGGTGAGATGGATTCCACTCTGACCACTTGATCTGCAAATCCCATGAGGGCAACATGGTTCTGGAGTCTTTACCAATTCATTGCCCCCTCATCACCCCACATCAGAGAGTAAGAAAGGACACAGGGTGGTGTTGGCAGAGGAGACATGTCCTATTAATTTTAAAATTAATTACAGTATATGGATCCAAAAGGAAAGAAGTCATTGTCCATTTATTGAGCACTTACTAAGTGCCAGGTCCTGTCTTGCTGTAAGCTTTATATATATTATTTCTGATTCTCAGAAGACTCTTTTGTGGTCAGTGGTATTATTTCTATTTTTCTGATGAAGAAATTGATGTTCAGAGAGCATAAGTGATTCACCCAAGGTCATAAGCCAGGTAATGGCGAGCTGGGGGTGAGACCCAGCTCTGACCAACCTCAAAGCCTTTCTCCTCCATTGATCTGCTTCCCTCTGTATCATATCCACTTCCACACATCCATTCCAGCCTCACACTGACCACCTACTGTGTGCCAGGCACTACCTTAAGTGCTGTTGAACACATCACCACAAGCTGTTCTGCTCACTTCTGCCTGGGAAGTGGAGGGTCTTTGCACAATGGGCCTCAGTGATTTCTACTTTAGACACAGACAGGAGATCTCCCACACTGCTGTCCCAGGAACAAGCAGGCAGCTTTTCTTAGGTTTTTCTAAGTTAAGGGTTCTCACTGCTGGTGAGACAAGTAAACAGGGAAGATAAAAATAACAAAACAGAGGGAGAAAGTCACAAAGTTACAGTAAGTCTCAAAGTATCTTTCTGTTCTGCATACTCTCCTAGCAGAACCGGGGCAAGGGCCCCTGAGGGGACTCTCGTCTGCAGAGTTTCAAGACCCCTGGAAGGATGCTGGAGAAGGCACTGATTATTATCTACTCCTCTCCCATTTCCTACCTCCCTTCCCCACTACTTCCTTGCTAACAGACTCAATTGTGTCTATACCTAGCTTGGGGTGAATCCTAAATGACCTAATATCCCCTCTTTTCAGTGATAGGGTTAGGGGTGGCATAGGGCCCATGCTCTCTGGGGTCAGGGAGATGATATCATGGTTATTGGGCTGGTTTTGATTTAAACTGGTTTCTAATCTGCAGTTCCAAATTTTTAGATGCTCTTATCTCTGATTAATTACAACAGATGAAGAGACAATGTAGTGTACTGCTGCCTTCTCAATTCCTGCAGGAAACAACAGATTCTGTCTCTCCGTTTGGATGTAACTTCCCCGAGGGCACTTTCAGTGTCTCTGCTTCCCCACCTAGATATCTCTTTCCCTAGAACCCACTCATTTATCACCTTTTGATGAGCTCGGCCAGGCAGGCCATGTCAGGAAATTTCTTGGTGTTCATTTTAATAAAATTTAATTACTAAGACAGCCTCACAAGTCATAATACATTTAGTCGCTCATTTTTCACTTCTCTGTTGGAGGCCTCCTGGCAGCCAGGTGGGAGGAGTGAGGCGGTGGGGATGCGTCAGAGCCCCTTCTGGACCCCGCAGAAGCTGGCGTGGATGGAGCAAGCGAGTCTCTGACCCTTTCTCTTCCAGCCCACAGCCTTTCCTCTTCATACTAGGTGCCCAGGGTGTAGAGAGCACCAAAGGTGGAGTCGGGAAGCCTAGGACTAAATCCTGCTTCTACCACGGACTGCCAGACAGGTCTCCAGGAAGGCACTTCTGTTATCCAAAAGCCGTGTTCCTTTGATACCTTTCAGAAGCAGAAATGGTATAAAGTAAAGAAGCAATTACCATTAATTTATAGGGAAAATTTTTTGAGCATTCCTTGACTCAAAAATAACCCCTCTTAGGCTTTTCTGATACTCAGGACACATCTTGTTAATGGATGTCCAAAATCTATGGAGATGAGCACAGAGGCTCACAGACACAGTTCAGAGCTATGGCAGTTTGATGCTGAGTGAAGTTCCCGGGGAAGGAGGTTGGTGGCAGCTCTCTCCTCTCCAGCAGCTCATGGCAGAACAACTGCTGGACATTATTTTCACTTTTTTGCCTTGTTTTGTGAAAGTAAATCCTCTTTGGACTCCTTTGGTTAGTGAGAACAGATACTAATGTAGATGTTTCATAAAAGCAAAGTAGTGTGACTTAAAGTTTTGAAAATTGGGGGATACCTGTATGCAGTCTCCCTGGGCCTCAGTTTTCTCATCTGCAAAATGGGAATAGTTTTGATCCAAACCTGATGGAGCCATTGTGGGAGAGAGAAGCAAGATCTCAGAATGAGAGGCCTTCCCCAGCAGGCTGATGGAGACCAAATGGCAGGTGTGGAAGCTAGCCATGATGGCACCTGCCCCCCACCGCCCCCAGCCTGTGGGTCAGCTCACCTGGGCAAGGGATGGGGTGAAATTGCAAGTCCCTGAGAATCACAGTGACAAATGACATTCACTAAGGGCTTTGTCTATTCTAGGCCCTGTGCCAAGGGCTTTATGTGCACAAACTCACTAAGTCCTCACATCAGCCTGAGTTGCTCCTAGTATTATAAGTTTGGTACTAGTATTATCCCTATTTCACAGATGAGAAAACTGAGACCAAGCCATTTATCCAAAGTTACATAGTTGATGGTGGAGGCAGATCTGAACTCTGGCTGACTCTAGAGGCCACCTTCTTATGGATAAGGTCATTTTCCTCAAAGAAATCAGTGAGGGGTCAGGAATTGCTATATTCAGGGCAACCTCATCTGGAAGTTGGGGAAAATGCAGCTGAACACCCAGGTCTCTGGCTGCACAAGGCGCAGTGCAGTGTGGGTGCACCAGCCATATTTACAGGTGAGATGGATTCCACTCTGACCACTTGATCTGCAAATCCCATGAGGGCAACATGGTTCTGGAGTCTTTACCAATTCATTGCCCCCTCATCACCCCACATCAGAGAGTGAGAAAGGACACAGGGTGGTGTTGGCAGAGGAGACATGTCCTATTAATTTTAAAATTAATTACAGTATATGGATCCAAAAGGAAAGAAGTCATTGTCCATTTATTGAGCACTTACTAAGTGCCAGGTCCTGTCTTGCTGTAAGCTTTATATATATTATTTCTGATTCTCAGAAGACTCTTTTGTGGTCAGTGGTATTATTTCTATTTTTCTGATGAAGAAATTGATGTTCAGAGAGCATAAGTGATTCACCCAAGGTCATAAGCCAGGTAATGGCGAGCTGGGGGTGAGACCCAGCTCTGACCAACCTCAAAGCCTTTCTCCTCCATTGATCTGCTTCCCTCTGTATCATATCCACTTCCACACATCCATTCCAGCCTCACACTGACCACCTACTGTGTGCCAGGCACTACCTTAAGTGCTGTTGAACACATCACCACAAGCTGTTCTGCTCACTTCTGCCTGGGAAGTGGAGGGTCCTTGCACAATGGGCCTCAGTGATTTCTACTTTAGACACAGACAGGAGATCTCCCACACTGCTGTCCCAGGAACAAGCAGGCAGCTTTTCTTAGGTTTTTCTAAGTTAAGGGTTCTCACTGCTGGTGAGACAAGTAAACAGGGAAGATAAAAATAACAAAACAGAGGGAGAAAGTCACAAAGTTACAGTAAGTCTCAAAGTATCTTTCTGTTCTGCATACTCTCCTAGCAGAACCGGGGCAAGGGCCCCTGAGGGGGACTCTCGTCTGCAGAGTTTCAAGACCCCTGGAAGGATGCTGGAGAAGGCACTGATTATTATCTACTCCTCTCCCATTTCCTACCTCCCTTCCCCACTACTTCCTTGCTAACAGACTCAATTGTGTCTATACCTAGCTTGGGGTGAATCCTAAATGACCTAATATCCCCTCTTTTCAGTGATAGGGTTAGGGGTGGCATAGGGCCCATGCTCTCTGGGGTCAGGGAGATGATATCATGGTTATTGGGCTGGTTTTGATTTAAACTGGTTTCTAATCTGCAGTTCCGAATTTTTAGATGCTCTTATCTCTGATTAATTACAACAGATGAAGAGACAATGTAGTGTACTGCTGCCTTCTCAATTCCTGCAGGAAACAACAGATTCTGTCTCTCCGTTTGGATGTAACCGTGTTAGTGTACCTTAGATGGCAGACTTCTGTTCCAATCTGGGTTTTTAACCCCCGCTTCATGGCTAATTAATTAAAGGTATACTGTTGATAAACAGAATGAACAGGAAAGATTCTTGTTTAGCCTTAAAAAGCAGACACGTACTCAGTCTTGAGTTTTGAACTTTCAATAGTGGCTTGTTTCTAAAGTATAGTCTTGGGATACTGATAGGACTCAATGAAATGGTTATTTCTAGCCTGAAATCTTGATTGTAAAGCACATTTTGGTAAATAAAACAATTTGGAGAGCCATTCTCATGGAAAAACATTGTTATCTCACAAGCTAACATATCACTACTTTGCAGCAGCATCTCAAATTCAGGAAAAATTAAAATATTCTCATCACATCCCAGCAGTAATGGTCAACATAAATAATGAAGCACAAAGACAATCTTGAAATGCAAAATATTTTATTATAACTGGCCTCCTCTGGGCCCAGAGATGAAGAAATTCCCTATACATTACCAAGATGTACAAATTCATTCTGGGATTTTTATACCTATCAGAAAGTAAGTATTTCTTTTTACGAGTCAAAGATATAACCACTTGTTTATTTCATGGGTTGGCTTATAACTATTGACCTAATAGCCTGGTTTAGAATAAAATTAATAGCTATTGGTCATTGTTTGTTCATTGAACAAATATGTTTGAATGCTGCTGTGTGCAGGACTTCTGCAGGCCACTAGAGAGATAGAGATGAAGCCAACATGGCCTCGTCCTCAGAGCTCATCTCTTCCTAGCCTTGTAAATTAACATTTGCAATAGAGTATGACAGAAACTGCAGTAGGGAACAAGTCGACCTGTGGTGGGGAGGCCTCAGGGAGGGCTTCAAAGAAGAAGTGCCATGGAGGTGGATCGTGAATCTTAGTGCCTCCTGGAGGCCTGGGAGAGCAAGTTGAATCCAGGACGCCTACATCCTTCAGTTCCAAGGGCACATCAGGGGAGCTGATCAAGATGTGGCTAGAAAGGCAGTGAAGGGTCAAATGATGAAAGGCCTGGTGGGCCAGGTAACCCCTGGGGCTTTACCCAAATAGACTTTATGATAGTCATGTTCATTTGATATCTTTTGTAAGTTCTTTGCTCAGTTATTACATAATTGTCATCAAGTCTCGTGGCTTGAGGGCCAGAAAGATATCACAGACAGAGGCAAAGGACAGGACTCCCTTTCATTCAACCCCTTCAATGGACTTGGAGAGGTGACAGCACTTGTGGTGGGAGGAAAAGTTTCTCCAGCCCTCAAGTTCCACGGGACACCTGCTGCTAATGACAGTGCTGGTGAAGGCCTGTGGACGCTCCCTCTGCCCATCCCAGGAAGTCCTCCTACCTCCTGGGCATTCAAGATGATCCTAGAGACCAAAGCCAGCCCCTGCCTGTGGGTTTACTGCAAGACTATGACTCAACTCCCCACGCTCAATTTCCCAGGGGCACCGTCTCCCTGTCAAGCCCAGTTTCCTATTCTCAGAATGATTACCTGCATTTCCAAGTATCTAGGTGAGCATTCTGGCATCTTGGGTTCCTTTTAAATAGGACACACTTGTAAGCTCTAAAGTAAAACAGAAAAGGTTCCTGTGAGGTGTTAGCTTTCAAGACTACGGTTCAGTGGTACTTTCAACGTACTTGGGGTGAATAAAAATGACACAGACAGCTGAACATTTCCTACAAATGAAACAGCAATACGGATCTGAGTTTCACGCATGACTCTTGAGGCAGTTAATGAAAAGGAAAGGAGAACAAAGGGTCGGCAGTATTTTCAGGGCATTCGCCCCCAGATGTTTCAATCCTGTTTCCTTTGGAGTTTGAAAGTGGGATTGCAAGTCAGCTGTCAAGGAGGCATCAAACCAAAGAAAGCTGAAAATGTGGGAAGTTGCCATCCAGAGGACAGGCCTTGGGAGGGGACCTTCTCCATGGTCGCTAAGGGAGCTGGGATCTTGTTGCCTGGGGGTATTTTGAGGAAGTCACCAGCTGAAGGCATGGAGCAGTCAATGGCTTATTGTTTCCTACATGAGAAAATACTGCTTGTCTGGGTTAAGAATAACACTACCAGAATGCTAAGAAAAAAGAAGAGAGCATCAGGTGCAGGGGAGGCTGGCAGAGAGCACTGGAGGCAATTGGGTGGGAATTTAGGGGCCCCAAGGACTCCTCTCACCTTCTGCGTAGGACTCGGGAAAGCTCCATTTGATCCATTCCTTTGAGACATAAAGATCTCCCCATTTCTAAGAATCTCCATATTAAAATGTAAGCATAGCACAGCACATACAGGCAAAAGCAGTCAGCAGTCCCTTCGGGTTACAATGCAGTTCTACAAGGGCAATACTGCTTTCCTAGCCCACCCAGGGGCTCTGGAGTTTTGACTGATGCATTAGTAGATCCTTTAACGTGGGATGTTTGTCACCTAGAGAAACACGCACACCTGTCCATACTTTGTTTAGTATTCAACGTCCCATTCTTATGAATCTATTAAACAATTTTTCTCTGGACATTCAAACATTATTTGCATAATTGATATATCAAAACATATTGAACATTGAACCAACTAGAATTTCTTAAACTTAATAAACATTGGTTACAAAATCATTTAACCACACTCTCCAGAACTTTTAATGAACTTTTAATATGTCAGCCTCTTCTAACCACTTCAGACAACTAAAAAGTTAGCCAAAATGCACACAAAACATCAGGATGATGGAAAAATATATACTTTTAATTACCTTTAAACCGTTTACAAAACTATAAAGATAACAGCTATATATTGGATTTTTCAAGATTTTTATTCTTATATTTTTCCAGAGTTACTTTCTTAGAATTAATGAAAGTTTTGTAGGATTAGAGTAAAAAAAATTTTTTAAAAGATCCAGTTTCTTCCAGAACTACAAAATAATGTCTCAGGTTAGCAGTTTTGGGGATACTCATTCTTAACTGGGACCCCAATAAAGGGTCTTCCAATATCATTATACTTTTTACTAACCATTATTAAATGTGGCCTCACAAAGAAGGTGAAAGTCCATGCCTTTCACATAAATCTTCTTTTCTATGACCAGAGGGTTTTCCTAAAGTGATGTGTTTCAGCTCCTAGGGAACCAGGGAACAAAAATCAGCAGTGTGCTGTCTTCATGAAGGCATTTGGCCAATTCAAAGAATACTGTCACATTATTGGTTCCCTCTTGTTATCATGCATAACTACTAATTTCTATGTCTTCCCCAAGACCAGTAGATGTATTCAAAATCCACTCTTTCCTCCTTGAGAGGATGGAAAAAAGTGCCCCTCTACTTAATTAACCAACATATGTTTAATGGAAGAAATAATATCACTCATATGTAATACTAGGCAGCTATTATGAAACTATCATGTTCATCCTTTTTGTTCAATTTATAGCAACTTTTCTCTTTGGAGCTTCATTAGGAACTTATGGCCCGTCACAGATTTCATGTGTTGTAATTAATTGTAGTTATCAGTCTCATTTGATACTCAAATTTTCAGAGCTTGACAAATGGAAGCCTCTTTAATCCAGCCTTTTGGTCTTTTCAGAACTATGCTATGACATAGCATCCTCACTTTCTCTCCACAAAAGGAACTCCCTTCCTACTTAAGGCTACCCTCCAAAAAGACCTTGTTTCTTTCAGTGGAGAAAAGTATTAGAGACAGAATCTGGGCATCAGGAACACGTGAGAGCTGCTGGCTGGACAGCAGCCCACTGTTGCTGGGGTCACTTTTAGCAACAGAGGTCAGAAAATATTTAAATTTTGAGGAGTTCACATGGATGTTTCTGATTTAACTTTAGCATTGTTCAATTATGTTGTTCTGATTTTAAAAATTCAAATATCTTTTCTCAATGATATAACAGTTTAACTGCTCATCCAGGGTGTAAATTACACCTCGTTTTTCTTTTGTTTCCTATTAACAAAATACATACATATAAAGTGCTTAATATTTCTCATTAACCTGTGCTCAGTTGAGCAAAGAATGTAGAAGATTTACATCTAATCATATCTCCAGGGGCTTATGTATGTGGGATTTATAACCATGACAGAAGAAATGTTGAGGATAACCCCACTCACCTTCTATAATGGTTTCTTTTTATAGTTTATTTTAGCATGGAAGGAAGGGCCTGAAGATCCATGGAGGGCTCTTTTCTGAGCAGTCCACATGGTCATATTTGAAGTGCAATTGCTGTTTCTCGCTTCTGAGCCCTTATTTCTAATCTTATTCTTTGTCTATGTGTATACTAAAGTGAATTTTTGAAGCCTAGTCCTTCATTAATTGCTAAAGCATTTTGCTTTCCTCCAACATGGTTAATAGGATGCTGGCTGTGGTTATGGGATGTTTACAATCTTTATCTTCCACCAAGCATGACATATTGGCATTTCCTCTAGGAGTGGTGTATTAGGCCAATTGAGAATACAGGACATATTAATACTTTTAAAAGAGTTGCTAGCAGGAAGAGACACAGTCTGCTTGGACTGTGCTCTGACAAAAGATCTACCATTTCAGTGGCACAAGACACTTCCTGTGTGATACCATTAATCGTCCCCAGTGTTGCCTTCCTTCTGTTAGTGTAGATGTTTAGATCAAATTCATATCCTTCCCTAGGTTCAAAGAAGAGTGGACTGTTAGCCAGGGATTAGTCAATATTTATTAGCAGGAATAACAACAATAACTCTAACAACGGCCAACTTTCTATTCCTACTCTGTGCCAGACACAACATGAGGCTCCTTACACAGCTCTTACATCATGAAAGGATTTTATGATGTACTTACATCATAAAATTACATCATTACATTCTATATTTTATGGCATAACAGTGCCATAAAATTTGTACAGTTATTTCCTCCTTTTACCTTTGAAGAAATCAAGGATCAGGGAACCCAAGTAATTTCTCAAGGACACATAGCTGATTAATGGCAGAGCCCAGAAACAGGCATACGGGATGTTGGGATTTGGGCACATTGAGCCATGCCAAAAGCCATAGTACCCGGAGACTCTGAGGTAATCTGTTTTTGCTGGGGATCAAGCATTGATCATTTAAAAGTCCATAGAATCCTGGCAGAATTATGGAACACTTTATCTGATTTGCTGTGAGAGTCGAGCAATGTCCGAAGCCAAGCCTGTCACGGGTTGCGGGTGGGGTGGGGTGGAGGGCAGACGTGGACCAGAACAGGGACAGGAAGAGAGAAAGAGGAAGAGGAAAACAGAAATTTATTACCTCCGAAAGTATAATAACTCTTCCTCCAATTTCCCCTCCACTGACAGAGCCCTGATCACACTCACAGCCATAGTTTTGGAAGACGGATCAGGAGAATTATTTTGCTATTCCTGTACTTGTCCCTTTGGTCTGAGAAGTTTTCTCTGGCCTGACAGTATTCCAAATAGGCAATAACTAGATTCCATGGGTCCCCTGGCAGACTAAGCCTAAATTATAAACTCTAAATATCAGGTGAGAGAAATAGCCTTTCTTCACTTTTGTCTAGTCTTGTTTCCAAATGTGAACGGAGTCACGAACAGGTCTTGTGACTAGAAATCTGGACAGTCGGGCAGCGCAAGTACTCATCTGCTGTTGAGATGGTTGCTCGTTTGGACTGCACTTACCCAGAAGCAGAGTTGCAGGGGACTGTGACGGGGAGCTATGGGTCGTGGTGGAAACAACCTAGGGTGGCCTGAGGCTGGGAACTTTCTCACTAAAAGGACCAAAGCCAAAGTCCCCACTCAGGGGGAAGTGCTACTGTGTGCTTTCTGTGATCATCACAGTGACATTGCTCAGATCTGCATAAGGTAAGCTTCCAAGCCCCCTTAAAAAGGGCTAAACCAGCCTCTCCATTTTGAGCATTTCTTCTGTACGTACATACATATAAAGTGCTTAATATGTGGACTGTATGCCACAGTCCCTCTTGCTTCTCTTTCTTTAAAAACATCAAAATTGTTTTTTGGAGGGGAGGGTGCAAATCTCTGTATAACTCAGGCAAATGTCTGTTGATTTTTGTGCAATGGAAGGTTCTGGGCTAATGGGTATGATAATTCTGGAATCAGACGGTCTTGGGTCAAATCCCAACTCTTGGTCTTCTAGCTTTGTCCCTCAGGTAGGTTACCACATGCCCTGAGCTTCACCTGCCCTATTTGCAAAGGGATTGTGAAAAATACCTCTGGGGGGGTATATTCTCAGCATCACAGGGTTCAAAAATAGGCACATTGGCATTTGTTCATCTGTAGACGTTTCCTGGGAAGGACCAGGATGCTGAGGGCACATGTTGAGCCACGCCCATCGCCATCCTTGCTCTCGTGGAGGTTCCAGTCTACTGGGTAAGAGGGAGGGTGATGGTAATGAGAGTACCTCACCAATAAATGTGGTATTATGACTTTGGGAAATGCAACAAGGTAGAGATAGGTGATACTAAGACAGTATGAAATGGGGATTGACCTGTGGCTGGAAAGGAGAGCAGCCATTTTCCACTTCACTCTGCTTCTGAGAAACAGGAAGGGCAGAGACAAGTTCTCTGATTCCCTATTAGCCTAAAAGAGGCAAGAGAGAAGCAGTCACTTCCAGCCACCC